TGTATTCAATGTCCTATGGTCTAAATGTCATGTCCATTAATCTGTAGATGTATCCATCTTTTAGTCCTTTCACCCATTTATTTCTGTCTATCACCTCATGTCTTTGGTCTTTAAACTATATAAGCAATGATCAATTATAACAAATGCAAAAGAAAACAATGTGTTGGTGAGATAATCTCTAAGGGGTCTGTTATGTCTCAGATCGCAGGTAAGGTCAGTATTCTTCAGTTAAATCTCCATCTGTGTATATATCCGTTTGTCCATAAGTCTGTGCATCAGGTGCTATAAGATCTGGTAACATACTGCTTGATTTACTGTTTGCTTCTCCTTAGTGTGAATGAAAGACCTGAAAGGACCCAGATTGTGGACCTGGTGAGTGTGTGGAGAGATGCTCTGTTTGGAGATGGTTTTCATAAAAGCGTAACCATCTTTGCCTCCTCGTTGTTTTGTTTTAATTGTTCCCTTTGTTTGGTGCAGCCATCAAGCCCAGAACAGTCCGACTCAGAACCTGACATCAGGGATGGAGAAGAAGAGGAAGAACCAGAGCAACAAACGGCCTATCAGAAGCTCCTTTCAACCCTTGGTGAACCCACCGCCAATCGCCAGAACCAAGAGGATGAAAGCAGTGATGAAGAGGAGGAGGAGGAGCTACTCTTTGAAAGCGATGGTTGTTTCTTTGTTTTGTTTTTTATATCAAGCCACACATTTATCCTTTAGACAACTTTATTTAAGTGCCACTTAGGTATGCTGCATTTTATACACATATTTTACAACTGTTGGCAGTTGACTAAATTGGAGTTTCAAATTTTCAGAAGAGGGCAGCAATGAAGCTGAGGACGAAGGAGAACATGGAGAAGAGGAGGCGGCGGGAGATAAAGAGGAGGGGGCTGATGGAGAGGAGCAGGCTGCTGAGCAGGAGGAGGTGGCAGGAGATAAAGAGTTTGTAGACAAGGAGCATGAATCTGCATTCTGTCTGGAGACAAACTTCATGGAAAAAGGAGAAACTGATGAAAACTCTGCACAACTGAAGACCAGTAAAGG